TAAAAAAAAAAAAGATGAAGAAGCCCCTCCCGGGGAGGAGAGGGCAGCGAACGCCCGCGAACCCCCTCCCGTCGGATCCCTGACCTCCACCTGGAGGGTGGAGGGGCTGCACACATTGGGGGGGTCCCCCATGGAAATTGGGGGGTCCACGGGGACACCGGGGGGCTCGGGATGTGGCACCGGAGCGTGGCAGGTGAAGAGAGGGGATCCAGAATCTCCGGGTGGTGCAGAGAGATCAAAAACCCCCAAAATATGGGGTGAGCACTGAGCCCCCCCCTCAGCACCCTGACCTGTCACCCGTGACCCCCCGGAGGTGACATCGCACGGGGCTGTACCCCCAGTGCACCCCAACACCGCCAGGGACCCCAACCCCCAGAATTGGGGGGTGCTCCGTGCTTGCACCACCCCCCCAGCTGTAATGGGGGGGTCTCATTGGGTGGGGGGCCCTCAATGGGTGGGGGGCCGGGACCCCCAGCACCAGGGGGGATTTGGGGTCCCCATTCCCGATGCGGCACAGGGTGGGGCAGTGATGGAGTTTCAGTAGGTGGGAGAGGTCTCAATGGGTGGGGGTCCAGGATCGCCAGGCAGTGCTGAAGTGATGGGGTCTCAGTGGGTGGGGGGACCCCAAAAAACGGGTGTACCCCAGAATGGGGTGCTGCAATGATGGAGGGGCACCCCAGAAACAAGTGTAGCCCAGAATGGGGTGCTGCAGTGATGGGATCTCAGTGGGTGGGGGACCCCAAAAAACGGGTGTACCCCAGAATGGGGTGCAGAAGTGATGGAGTCTCAGTGGGTGGGGGACCCCCAGAAACAGGGGTACCCCAGTGATGTGTCTCAGTGGGTGGGGCTCTACCCCAGTGATGCAGTGATGGGATGACATTTGGGGGGCTGGGACCCCCAGCACCGGCTCTAACCCACTATGGGGTACTCAGTGATGGGGTCTCAGGGGATGGGAGGGACCCCCAGAACTGTCTGTACCCCATTGTGGTGCAGGGGTGCAGCAGGGATGGGGGGTCATTGGGGGGTGGGGGAGCTGCAGCCCCC